TTTAATAAACTTAAGAAAAATAAAATATTAATAAGTTATTTTTTAATTTATTTTTTATTATATAACTACATATTAGAAAGTATTTTCTAACTTATTTTTTATTATATTACTAAAAATAAAAAAAAAATAATTTATTTTTTTGAAAGTCGCTTTTCCATAATTTATTTTAAAAAAATTATTTAATAAATTAAAAAAATATTAATAAATTTATTTTAATTTATTTTTTATTATATAACTAAATATTTTTTATTATATTACCAAAAATAAAAAAAATAATTCACTTTTTTCAAAGTAACTTTTCCATAATTTATTTAAAAAGAAATACTTTTTCTATATTTCAATCCTAAAGCAAACAGTACCCGGGGACAAGTAAAATAAAAATAAAGAAGCAATGAATGAACCTGCATGTAAGGAGAAGATCAGAAATAAAAGTTACACATTGACAAAACATGCACGCTGTATAACAGTATAAAAAGCTGGCGAGCCCAGAAAGGTTCATGTCATCAGAAGAAACAGGTGAAAAAGGAGGAGAAAGCATGGGAGCGCATATGCCAAAGGACAAAACATCTTTTGAACAAGTTGATGGAGAGATAACGAAAGCGTGAACAAAATGTATCTGTTCACACTCGGAAAGAGAAAGGAGAGAGTTTTAACTAGCTTGCTCGTACACTGAACCTCATCTTTCAACTTTTTCTTTCTTCTTGGAATCCTCCATGCCATCCCTTTCCTCTCTCCTTTTGAAACATTTAATGGCTGCAAAACTTTGAATCCAATAGCAGTGAGTGAAGGAAAAGATAACCCAGCCTCCTGCATTTAATGCCAAAAGCTGCTTCATCGTATGCCTGTGTCTCCACTGTCATGCAACTCCCGGGATTGCCGCCGGAGTTTAATTAAAGCCTTCGAGCTCAGGTTGGTTTTTTGACGAGATCGGCTTTGTTTTTCCAGCGGCGGTGCCTGCCGAGGTTTTTAAAGTTTTGATTTCTTTTTAAATATTGTTTTTTGATTGTTTTATTGTATTAATATTAGAAATATATTCTTAAATAAATAAATTTGAAAATCAACAACCTTATTACAATAGCAACACTGCATACGGGAAATAAAACTGTTCTTTGTTTACCGATTTTTATGTTACAAAATTTGGAGGGACATTACATTATTGCCTTGTAGATAATAGGACAAATAAATGGGGAATAAAAAAAGAAAAGCAAACTGTGTAAAAACACAGAGCTTGTGCAAATGACTGTTAGGACCAGTGAAATAGCGGTCGGAAAATTATCTGAGGTCCTGAAAGTCTCGGATTTTCAGGAGCCTGACACCGGTAAATGTTATGAAAAGAAAACTTTATTATTATTGTTGTTGTTTTCTTCTTCTGCTTTTACCATATCAGTACAGTCTTCAAAATGCTTTTGTAAATTGAAATATCTATAGTTGGGAATGACGGTGACATCATCAAAAGCATGATGCCTTGATGCTTGTTAAACATGGTTTAATTTTACGAGTTAACGTAAAAACTTGGTAATTTAGAATACAACAAGTCTTAAATAGAGGGGTTAGGACATGGGCGGAGCAATAAAGAAAAATTAAGAAAGACTAAGTTAAATTTTTAATTATTTTTAAAATATTTACAAGGAAGGAACTGGAAAAATAAATTCCCTACAGGGGCAGGGCCGGCACCCCCCACCTCCGCCACTGGGTTAGGATAATAATTTGGTAAAACTTGATGGATCTAATTAAACCCGATTATATTAAAAGATTATTTAAAGAAAATAAAGAACGAACCAAATTGCTTAGAATAAGATTTAAACCTTGAAATATGTATATTAGCTAGAAAAGTTTGTCAACTTGCTACGACCAGCAAGAATGTTTTAATAACATGCACGTACTTTCACTAAGTAGAAATTAAGCTAACAACTATGGTATTAATTTGGAGTAACATGCACTTGTGGTCACATAAAGTTGTTGAAATGTTAGCATTAATCACCTCTTAATTATAAATAATCAAACATCTAAGAACAACAATACCAAGTACTTTACTATTAAATCACAGGCTATTTGTTGATCTTAATGCTACTTCTATGTATTTAATGTGGTCTCCATGACCCGCACAAGAGATCTGTCCAACTTAATGCTCCAATTTATTTATTCATAGGAGTTACCATTGAATACTGAGAGGTAAATAAATTAAATGCTTCAAATTTGAAAAAAAAAATGTACAAAAGACCATTAATTTATTTAATTCAATATCCATGTCCCCCACAAGACATTTATTCAATTCAATGCTTCATTTGTTTATTTATAGAAGATATTGTGCTTTAAATCTGATAAAATACACGCAACAAAATATAATGATCTTAAAACGATAATCTCTGGCTTTTAATTAAGAAAAACAATAATTAAAGTCTCAGTATAATCACCACTTTCATGGGTTTTCCATTGGGATACACAAATGAAGCATCGCTGTATTATTACCACAAAAGATTTATATTTACCTGTTCTTAATTAGAGTATATGAACATGAAACAAATACTTTAGTTTTCCCAACCTCCATTTATAAACGAAGTAAATACTTGAGAGAAACTACATTTTTAGTTGTTGTTTGAAATTATATTTTTTAGTTTTCTAGGCAATGCGTTCTTTCTAGTAAAATGTACCATGAATATTATATTAGATAAATAAATAAACAGAGCATTACGATCGAGAGATGGTTTAGCGGTGAAGTACTTGATGTTCTTCTTGTCTTTGAAGATTAATGGTTTGACCCTAATATTGAATTGTTCATAGAGGATCCGACAATCGGGTGAAAGAGGAAGCACAATTTTATCATCAACTTGCAAGAATAGTCTATTCTACATCAAGTCCTTCAAGCTAAGAGATGTTTGCCATGGAATCCAAAGCGAATTTGGGAAAGAGACCAAGTTTTCAATAACGTTGTGGGCCTGTAATTGCAGCTTGCATTTGTCAATGAAATGATGTCCTGTGAACGGTCTAATCAATTTAACTAAATGGGAAAATCATCCAGTTTTCCATAATTTTTTTAGATTAAAAATACACTCATAATTTGAGAAACAAAGCTAAATTGTGTTCTGTAATCGTGGTTTATTGTGATTTTTAAAATAATGTTTTATTTAAAAATATCTGAAAATATTTTTTGTTTATAGATTTTATATCAACATATAATAACCATAAAACAATATCAATTGAATGCCTTTTCAAATTAAAAATACCTCTGAGAAAAATCAGGAATATAAACAACAGCCCCACGTCCTGAATTTCATGATTCGCGTTTTCACGTTTCACTGAATAAGGGTGACTTTTGGAGTGCTTGAAGAGTCATGCTCCTCAATTAAGGCAAGCATTCTGCAAATCTTCTCCATGCAAGTACTCAGAAGAAAGCTGACATTTACTCCTCTTTTCCACCAGGAGAAACGTGTATTATTTCACTGAGGACGTCAGTAACAAACAAGAAATTGCACTGTTAAGAACAACCATACCAAGCATTTTTCTTTATGTAAATTGATTGTCAGAAGGAAGAGAAATCTAGAAGACCGTCTCATTACATCACATGACCAAATGACTGGAGTTTGTAAAATTCTCGAGGACTCGGTACAAAATTGCCTGAGTCCCTGCATATCTCTCTTCATCACAAGACCTTGAACACGCCATTTACTTCACCCATACTAGCAATGCTGAACTACCATGAATCCCAAGTTTATTTTATATGGCATGGAAAATAAAGATAAACCAATTCCACCCAGAAGATATAAGAACAGAGATTGGAAGAGAGAAATACACAAGTTATAGACACTCTACATCATTCAACCGAGTAATTTGTCATATAAAATTTGCGTCTGTTATAATAAGAGATTGTTTAAACGTCTCTCCTGGAAAGAGTGATGCTATTTACCTACTTATTAAATGCAAATTATCGTATTTCAGCATTTCTTCTCCATCATTCCTCCATAACATATTGTGACGGCCATGGTGGCATTTAGATGATTAGAACGCCCATTCAGAATATCAGATTTAGTGAATTAACATCTATGCCTGTCCGCTTACCTATAATAATGTCTAAAGAAAACGGGGAGATGTAACCGGAGTATTTCAAACTATGTAACTATCCACCATTCTAAGAGGATTTACACATGATAAATTGCTTTTTCTTAGCTTTGAGTGATGTCCGCTTTACAGAAGTCTTGAATAAAATACTGTCTGAAAATCCAATCCTATGAAAACCTTTTCTTAGCTATAAGAATTTGTCTAATTAATGCATTTGACTGGAAAATGTTAATGGTATCAAATGCAGACCATCGCAGATGTAGAATTCCATAATAAACACAAGATTAACGAAAGAAGATTAACCTACAAAGTACCATACAACAGGAGCATGAAGGTACAGGTAACCAAGGTCCAGAATACATCATGACTATATAGGTCATATTTACATCATTTCTAAGGATGATAAATCAAATGAGTTTAAAACAGAAAAGGAAAAACATCAAAAATTTTACTGCTAGAAATCTTAACAAAATTAAACCGGTAACAACAATATATATGGCACAAACTTATGCGAAGCGGCAAATTACTGTTTCACAAGGACAGTGGCAGCTGTGACTAATTGGACCAACAAATACCAAAAAGCATAAATTGTGTACCATAATCTTGTTGGGTGAGTAGCAAGCACAAGAATGGATTTACAATTTTGATGAAAATATTATAATATTATAATTACTGAAAACAGATGAGAAAACAAGGATCATAATTTGTTTCAGACATGGAAAATACTTGTATGCTTTGAATTACTGAAAACATGCATATAGGAAAGCATGTCCATGCATTTAAATATGAACTCGTTACACTCTATAGAAACTGGTAGAGGAAATACCTTCTTAGCTTCCTTACTAATCTATTTAGCATCAACTTTGTTGAAGGACCACATGCTGCAAAATAGAAGTACAAGATGAAATTTTCTAGATGCTTCAAGTGGTTGCAAGAAAAAAAGGCTTTATCAAACTGAATGCATTTTCCACAGCACATATCATGTTAGTACCTTAATTTGTGTCCTATTGTAAGTGTAAGTGATATGAACAGAACCGTCACTAGCCTGGATAACCGCGGGATACGAGAATTCCATATCCAGTTCTTCCGCTAGTGTAATAACATCATGCCACGAGTCACCATCATCTTTGGACACAGCAACTTTAAGCACGCCCCTTGAGATTGTATTGTAAGCGAGCAAGACATGACCATCTTTTAGTTTAACCCCATCAATACCTAATGTAAAAACATAAGAGTGTCAACCACAACTTATATGAGGTAGCAAAGATAGTAGAAACCATGGGATCATGATCATTTTTTCTCTCTCTTGAAATAGCATTTTCTAGTTTTAGAAAAAAAAGCACAAGCAAATTGACATTGCAATCTTGTCTTATAATCTAAAAAGAAGCCCCAACCAGCGCTGTAGTTGATGAGCTGATGGTGTTAACAGTCCTACAAATCCACCTCACTCAACTATTGTGTGGGATTCAGGTTCTCTGGCCTATGTCTTACAGTGTGCAAAAGTGGAACAATGCATAACTCATTCCCAGCTACAAGTCAAATTTTCCTGCAGGGAGTGTGCTCTTTCACAAAGGTGCAAGATCTAAAAGGGAGGTGTTGTATGCTCCAACAACTGCTTCAGGGTTCTCTTGCCTATGCCTTATGGTGTGTAAAGCAGAATGTGGCATGCCTCGTTCTCAACTGCGTCAAATTGTTAAGCATGGTGTGCACTTTTTCATGAAGAAGCATGATTTAACAGGGAGAGCTTGTGTGCTTCAACAATAGCGAGTTGCATTTTGAGAGAGGCAATTCTACTCTTGGTTGAAACTCAAATTTTATTTCCCCTCATATTTAGAGTCAATTCCAAGTTCCAATTTAGATGTCGGATGTGAATGAGAGAGGTCTTGGATACATTAAAAGTCAAGCATGAAGATTCTAACAGCAACTCCAGCCAGATTTCTTGCTACAATTGCCTATGATATAATCGAGTATAATGCATATTGCATTATGTCTAGTGATAGAAATCTGACACTTGTTATGGCTAACCATGAAAACTAAGATGGGCTAAATATAATTTTCAAAATCTGATTAAGATACATTTATTCAACTAAACATTAACAAACCATTTAAATAACACCACGAAAAGATACAAGCTGCCACTCCAACTCTGGAATACTAACCTGAGTTTGGGTTGGGGAGTTCAGTGGGTTTTGCATAACCCCAGGTCACACCACCATCATAGGATTCTGACATACAAACTCTTCCAATGTCATCAAACGAACGCAATAAAACACGAAATGTCCCATATGCAGTCTGGAATGGTACTGGCTGAATCACACTAAGAGATGTATTTTCAACGTATATTGGGCCATGCTTTCTCCATGACCTACCTGCATCTGCAGTCACCTATTCACACAAGTCAAAAATATGTCAAATGTCCAAAACAGCATTAGATTCCAAGTGCTCAAGCAAATGAGTTGTTACAACCTCCATCCATGCACCCCAAGAATTCCAACTTTCTACAGATGATCCACAGAGCAAGGACCCATTTTCCAACAAGATTGGCTGCACAAGGGAATCACTTATTTTAAGGGAATCATAATAGCAACAATCAAGCTTCATTGTTGCTGATATAACTAGCATACTTGAGTCATTAGACAATATATTCTGATGTTTAGAACCACACCTTATTCTTTGACGGTCCTAATATGCCTGGAGGAAGTTGCTCTCTCTTTGACCAGGTAACACCTTTGTCATAAGACCGCTTCATGCATCCACTCCATCTGAGATTTAGCAAGTTAAAAGTAAGTAGAAGCAAGATAAGTCTCAGTAGCTAAATCCATTATCATTTCCAAAAGGAACTTTATAATGTAATTTAACATATAAAATTACATTCCAAAAGTTTAATTTTTTTTACTATGATAAGAACACAAATACATCCAAACCCAGACAGCAGTTAACTGCAAAACTGAGTGGTTATTATACAGCAAAGAGGGCAAGTTATATCTCTGACTAGTGTTCAGCTAAAGCCTCTTGGAAATCATTTATGACACGAATGCATGAAAGATTTAGCCTCTGTAGGGCCTGTTGACTCAACACCCCTAGTTGCAGCAGTGGTGGCAGCCCAATGGCAGCTTAGGGGTCTGCTAAACACTCTTGGAAACCCACAATGGCCTTTTTATCTCATTCTAAATTGTTCAAAACTGATTTTGGAAAAAACAGAGACAGTTGCTTTTGCCACCACTCAACATCAACAGCAGAGCCGATATATCCAGTTGATTAAATTTAACTCTCGAACGATATAGAGCCAATATAAGCATGATAGAGAATTCATTGGTAATAAATTCCAAAAGTAGTTTGGAGGATGAAGTTACTTAAAGCAATCCTCAAATCATATGGCTAGGCTTATGCTTATATCCACACCTCCTAATACTAAAAATATTGGGAGTTGTTAATACTGTGTTGTCAGAAACAGTCCTCTCTAGCTGTCCCAGACTCCCAAAGTATCTAAAATCTAAAATTTTATACTGAGAGGAGCAATGTTGTAGCTTAAAGTGCAATTTTGTTTGTATTTCAATTCTCTATAATCTTATGGATAAATAGCAGCATTCGCCAACAATTCCACAGAAGTGCACAGCAATAAACACAATTACAGTGAATTCAATGTTTAAATTATATGGAGTGAAGAGAAGAACAAACTCTAAGACCTTGTACTGTAGATATGAAAGAAGAGGCAGTTTCACAAAGTTAATAGTGGACCAACACGGCCACAAGCATATACTTGGTTTGACTCAGTAATCAGGAATCCAGCAGATTCAATGACTCCTGAGGAAATGGCATATCTATATAAAATGTATATCAACTTATGGAGTTATGCGCTTCAAACTAACATAATCATAAACATTCATCAAAATAGCAAAGCTTCCTGAGTTCACTATTGCTCTAAATTTCAACTTCTGCTTTTTTGTCCTTGTTGATTAAAAGTGAACTGTGCTAGAAGATGACTTTCAGTCACTTGATTTCTAGTTGTGTTTTTTTCTTTGCAGAGGAGAAATTTATAGTTGTGTAAATTTAGCAATTCTGTATTCTGTTGAGAATTATAAAGGTTATTTCTCCAAAGTCATGCAAAAGAAGTGGGCAAAGATCATGAATCAAAACTTCAACTGTTACCTTAAAACACCTTTCACACCACAAAAAAGAAACCCTCACAAACATAAATGCTTGGAATCTGACTATCCTACCTTACTTTTCCCTCTGACACCGTGAACCAAACACCACCTAAGAAGAAGGATAGAAAACCCAAAATCCTCCATGCTAAACCATCATAATCGCCTATGCTCTTGAATCCACAAGAACAAAGAATTATGAAAACTTTATCCATTAATGGCTCACTTCACATCAACCATAAATACTTGGAATCTAAACTTACCAGGCTTAATTTTTCCTAGGATACAGTAAACCAAATACTAAGGACAGAAAACCAAGAATCAACTGGGCTATACCTTTCAGACCTACAGGGACCACTTCTTGATTCTACAAGAACAAAGAATTTATAAAATCACACGACACAGAATAGGTGATTATACAATCACATTAAGTTCCTAAAAAGTCATAAAATACTTATGGAAACAAAAATCCTACTACAATAGGATACTGAATAGCCTGGAATAGTATAAGCACACCAAAATTCTCAGAGCTTCTAAAACATTTAAGCAAACAAAATTGCGATTACAATAAGATACTTAATAGTCTAAGAACAGAATATTCTTAAATAAACACGATTATAAATTATTGACAGAAGTAGCCATCTTGTATGGCATCAAAAGTTTTTTTGTGTTCAATTTTCCCCAAAAGGATTATGAATTCACAAATTTAACTTTTCAGTCACTTCAATGTGGCATAATTTTCTCACGCAGAATGTATGGTGTCAAGACAGACTTGAATAATGTATACCATTCTGTATTCCATGCAATATACAAGGTCAGAACAACCTTTTGTGTTTTTGAAATCAGATGAAAACATATGAATTTAGCAACAACCAACACACTTGAACACTATTTAGGGAAGCTTGACTACAAAAATTAACAGTTTAAATGGAAAACAATTGAGATTGGAAGTTTTACTTTTGGACCTCTTGACCGACTTTATAGAACAGAAGTAACTCCTCTGATGCCAGTTTGAATAGCACAGGGTTCCACATAGGAACATCAAGCTGATCATCAACGATGATGGGTGATTGCCAATAACCATCCTGCACATCAGATACCCACTCATATGAGATAAACCATCTTAAAATCCAAAGAGGCAAAATAACAGGTAATTTGAGAAAGAATCAATTACTTACAGAAGTGATTGAAGGTCGACTAAGTCAAGAGGGCTTAGTAGAAGTTAATGAATCAATCAATATGTCCAGGATCTTCCTAAAACTGCCTTTTTGCATTAATCTTTTGAATCAAACGACCAGTTAATTGATGCCACTTATTTTACAGAGGAAGTGAACTTTACTACTGAAAAGAATGAACTTTACTACTGGAAAGAAGAATTTAATGTGTTGAAACAAAACCTATCCATTTATTTTTCTATTGCTCACTGGCTTGGGATATATGTGGGACAAGATTCTTGTGATTTGTAGAGAACAGTGGATTTCCCATGACAAGACAGATGGAGAACTAGTTATTGATTAATTTAATGTTTTCAGAAGGAAGATCATAAGAACTTGAGGTTGCATTCCTTGTAGGGTGTGTTTGAATGGAGTTGAGTTCAAGACTTCTCAAGTATCTCCGTGGAGGCACTGTTTGATAATTTTTTGGTCTCCTTTGAGCACTACAGCAGCGGCTTTAGGGATAATCTCATTAGCAACTATGCAGAAGTATTGAAACCCTTGTTAATTTGAATTTTCTAATCTTTCTTATGTTTTTGAGTCTTCCTTTCTTTCTAATATTTTTTTTTCTTTTGAGCAAAATAAAATACTACTAGGGGAGGAAATACTAAAGAGCGTATCCTACAAGTTTACAGTCATGAAAACAAACTTTTTGGAAAAATTAGATGCATCATCAATAAGTGGCATACAATTAAATCAGAAAGTGATCCAGCAGACAGAGGAAGAATAATTACTTTGTATGTCTGTATCCAAATCTTCACATCAGGTGCTCCCTCTTTTGTACCTCCAAAATAAGCAACCAAAAAGTGATCTTTATCAACCTGCACAAAGCACAGATCAGCACAACATTAAAAAGCTCTGTTCGTGAAGACATGCTGCAAGAATTTGAAGTCAGATTGTTTAACTCCAATGGAAAACCTCAACAATGGTAGAGGCGTGACAGCTATTGAAGGGAGAAGAGTTTGCAGGAAATGTGAACTCCTCTTTCACTAGCTGCCAGTTGTGACAGTCTTTGCTCATATTTGAAATCTTTGGCTGCAGAACCGTATAATTTGTGTTTATTCCAGCGACCTTCCTGAAGAGAACTTGGAACATTTACAGGTCTTAAGAACAATAAAAAAGCACACAGAAGCACAGAAACAAATGTATAGAGGAGATAACATTACCATTTACGATGAACAAAATAAGGATAACAGCAACAAAAATAATAATAAAAAGAAAAAATGCTGGCTCTTTCTCTGTGTTCGTTTGCCCTAGGTGAACATCTCTGACATTTTGGTTGTAATGTACTCTTTTTGGCCGTGATAAACATTCATTACGGGCCCCTCATGGTTTCAAGTAAGGCATAACTTCATTAATTTCCCACGTATGGTGTGCATGACAATAATAGAGTACAATTTGTTTCTGTCAATAGTTTCTCACTATGATTGTTCTAAACAAGGGAAACACATGTTAAAAACTTGCGGCAAATAGAATATATCTGAGAAGTAGATTCCTTCTACAATTGGGTGCAGGAATGCAGGGGCATACTTCAGCAAATTAAGCACTAAAACTAGCATCAACATCAATCAGTTTAAAAAATCAAAGATAAAGAGAAAAGAAAGGGGGGAAAGACAACCTGCTAGGACGCTTATAAAAGTCATGAAGTAATTGCCGGTAGGTGTGCAATCTGATAGTGTTAGAACTCAAGAACTCATGATTGACTTTGAAGGGACCACGAAAATCAGAGAAATTGGACATACAAAACAACAATAATAAGATCATCAAAGAAAACAAGAAAAGAAGTAACACAGTGCTCCTAAATGATTTCCACATTTCTACGAAAGTCTGTTTCTATATCTAGGTTTTCTCAAAGCAATTCAATTTCGTATGTACATACAGGGATTGCATAAACACGCATTCATGTGCGCGCGCGCGCGCGTGTGTAGAGATAGAGAGAGAGAGAATCCTAAAGAAAGAAAGTCAACATAACAGAAGCAAAAGAAGAGCACCCACTATGGATTAATCAAATAGCATGACAGAATAAAAAAGAGAAGCAATCGTACCTCATACAGTGATGCCATGAAAATAAGGGGGGGGGGGGGGGGACTTTCGAGAGGAGAGAGAGAGAGAGAGAGAGGCGTATTAAAAAAATTGTTTACGGACCTCTAAGGAAGAGAGTAATGCAAGAAAGTGGGCACCGCTGCCTGACAGCTGAGGTTACTCTTCAGCTTAGCTTCAAATATTATAACAAAGCCCCTCAAAGATCATAACTTTATGCACTGCCCCCTCAAAAAAATATAATTAACACCCCCCCCCAAGATTGAAACTTTTGGTCATTCCTCCCCTAAAAAACACATTTTCCTGCTCTACACCAAAATGAATCTCAATCCTCTTCACTCACTCACTGTCTCTCACTCCTTGCAGTCTCTCTGCTGCATCCTGAAAAAGTAAATCCAAGGGGATGGCACCAATCAATCCAGCCATTTCCCATATTACCCCACCAACCACACTAACCTATTTCCTCCTCCTCCTCCTCGCCACCACCACGACTACCACCCCAATTTTAGCCATAACCAATTTAACAGCCCTCCTCTCCTCCTTCCCTGACTTCTCCTCCTTCACTTCCCTCATCACCTCCATACCCTCTCTAACCTCAGACCTTTCTGACCGATCTGCCCTTACTCTCTTAGTCATTCCAAATTCTTACCTTTCCTCCTCTTTAGACCTCACGCGCCGCCTCTCTCCATCTGCCCTCGCCGACCTCCTTCGTTACCACATCCTCCTCCAATACCTCTCTTCCTCCGACCTCCACCAAGTTCCCCCGTCTGGGGCCCTCATTACCACCCTCTTCCAAACCACCGGCCGTGCCTCCTCTAACTCTGGCTCTGTTAACATCACTCGAAACCCAGTAACAAATGCAATCACTATCTCCTCTCCATCCCCATTTTCCTCCTCAAACGCCACGGTTTTGTCCTTGATAAAGACTCTTCCTTACAATGTTTCCATAATTTCAGTGAATTCTCTGTTAGTCCCATATGGTTTTGATTTGATGGCATCAGAAACAAGGCCTACATTGGGTTTGAATATCACTAAAGCATTACTTGATGGCCACAGTTTTTTGGTCGCAGCTTCTTTGTTATCTGCTTCTGGAGTAGTACAGGAATTTGAAGCTGATGAAGGAGGAGCTGGGATAACTCTTTTTGTGCCTACAGATTCTGCTTTTTCAGATCTGTCGGCAACTGCTATCAGTCTACAATCATTGCCAGCTGATAAGAAAGCTGATGTCTTAAAATTTCATGTCTTGCATTCCTATTACCCTCTGGGTTCCTTGGAGTCTATCGTTAATCCTGTGCAGCCTACATTGGCTACTGAAGATATGGGTGCTGGCAGTTTTACGCTGAATATTTCGAGGGTTAATGGGTCAGTTGCGATTGATTCAGGGATTGTTCAGGCGTCTGTTACGCAGACTGTTTTTGACCAGAACCCTGTTGTCATTTTTGGTGTTTCGAAAGTGCTTTTGCCTAAAGAGATTTTTGGGAGGAATCCTGTGTTGACTAATAAGCCAGGGAATACTGATATGGGAAATTCACAGCCGCCAGTTAGTGCTTTGTCACCAGAGAATTCGCCGAAAATGCTGTCGTCTGCTCCAGGTGTTAGAGAAGAGATTAAGTCTGGAGTTGGAGGGTTGCAGTGGTTGAGTGCTCTACATTTGCTTTGTGTTGTTTTTGTATGCAATTGTATTTAGTGGTATGTGTTTTAATTATTTTGCACTTGATAATCAAAGATTTTTTTTTTTTTTGGGGGGGTGGGGGGGTGTACACTTTATTGAATTGAATTTGGCTACAAAAGTAGCTTTTTTTCTGCTTTTCTTTGTATGTGGCACTGTAGAGGGAGATGTCTAAGTGTGAATTGTGTAGCTTCTTGAATAATTTATATCATAAGAGCATCATATTTTCTCTGGCAGTTCTGCACTTATTTTTTGGCACTTGTTATGAAAATTTGATAAGAGTAAATGGAGTTTTTTTTTCATGATTTTGGGCCGCTTTTTATGTTCTGTGACAGTGTTGAACTTATTATGAGGTTTGAAACATTGAATTCTAACATTGATATCTCCTTTATGTTTCACCTTTTCAAGCCATAACGGGTATTGATTTTTTTATGTCCAAACCAATCTCCACGATGTGTTCTTCCCTAGTGCACCCTTGACAGCACATGCTTTATCCTAGAAACAACAAACAAATTGGTGTGGCAGCAGGGTATGCTTGTATGTTGCATTGTTGATCTCATTGGTACTTCTGTTTACTTTTATAGTGTATGATTGAGGAGAAATTTGAGTTTGCAAAATTACCGGTTGTTGGCTTGTTTTGTTTGGGAGTTCCAAGTGAAGGCTTTGAATATGTCAAAGGCTTATGATTTTACAGGTAGCAAGTAGTTTTCCTACAATCAGTTTATGCAGCGATGAGAGCTTCAAGTTGCAGGGGAGACAGCCTGGTTCTAGCTCCGATATTGGTGGTATCAACGGCAGTTAGGATTGCAAAATGCTAAGTAGATCTTAGGATTTGGGTGTGACTAGCTTTTTGTTGCCCAAATTCAAGTGTGAATGCATTCTCATCACTTTGGTCTTGATTTGGTGTGGTTATATTGGATTTTTCTTTGATTAAGGAAAAGAGGATCTTTCTAATCTTCTGTTGTTTTTAGCTTTTGGGTGAATTTACAAAAAGATGAATGGTTACAGGCACTGGGGAGTCCGGTTTCAATTTCCTTGCATGCAAGGGCCAAGCAAGGTAATGCCTTCTGAATCTGACTAGGTATTATTGATTTCTTTTTTCTTCTCTCTCTCTCTCTGTTTTCTTTTCTTCTTATTCTTTTTTTTTTTTCAATTCAACTGTGTTGTCTGGCTGCTGGGTGTGCTATTGTAATTTATTGTTATTCCAGTTCAATAATGATTGATTAATTGCTTTTACTTGATTGGTATCATTGCAGTCTTTAATCTGGTCAATAAGCACTCATCAAAATAAAACTATAGACCCGCTTCTCGCAAGAACACTTTAAAAAAAATTACAAGATGTTTCTTTTTAGTGTTGCAAGTCATTAATCATTGGAAGAAAACAATGTGAGATTTGAAGTGAATGATGGTCATGGAACCAGAGGCTGGTTAGTTTCAAACTCATTTGTGCCCTCTCTTGTGGTCCATAACCTATTTATAGGATCATACTTTACTGATAAAAAATAAACGGTTCTTAAATTTATTGATGACAATCCTATGAACCTGTTTTTGAAAAGCTTTAAGGGAAGGTCCTTGTGCTTGCTACAATAAATGCTGCTGGCTCAATTGGGAAATACTATTTGTTGAGGTTTCCATTCAGAAATAGTATTTCGTAGTATAGAGGAGCTTATAACTGGTTTTCTTTTGGCTTTAACTGATTTCCATTCTCAATCTATTTCTAGGTCTAGATTACAATTAGGGCAACATCTAGATCTATGGTTTTATTTTTTCAAACCAAGATTTTGGCCGGTCATTTTTATTTTGATTCTGTGTTTATCAAGACATTGACCCATTTTGAAGTTTAATGGATCATGTCAAATTGTTTGATCTAGAGCAATCCCACTAGGATCTTGATAAGCATGCAGCACCATATTTTATGAAAGCAGTCTAGTTCTAGTTCAATGGGACATTTGGGTTAAGGAAAAGCAACCTTGTAATGACTGCAGATTTATTTGCTGAAGTGGTATAAAGTTAATCAGCCTAAGGGAAACAGAGGTCTGGAGTTAAAGAAATAGGTAACCTTGTGCTGAAACTTCCATCATGAAATAAGAGGCATTATGAAATTAGCTTTCATGATAAAATTAGCTTTCATGATAAAATGGAGCTGTGGATAGGGCTTCAATGCATAAGTACAGTAGTAACTACTAAGATAGTGTTCCATGTTAGGACTGGGGTCAAAGGCTGTGATTCTCACTTGTGGAAGGGCATTTGGGTGTCTTGAGTAAACATGTGAGCAAGCACTAGAAGGATTGTGGGGAAGGGGCAATATTCACTTTCTGGTGAGATACATGGATTGAGATAGAGCCCTATTGCTGACAATGAATTTCCATCCTATCCCAGAAGCTTGTTGGTATTCTAAAGCAGTGGAGTGGGTTGGTGATGTTGGAGAATAGGCCTGGAACACGTTTTCCATTTGGTGCCTTGTGATCTTGCTCTGAAGATTTACTCATGAACCTCTCCTACAAAGCTGAGGAGAGAGACAGATAAATCCATGAAAGAACTGGCGATAGGAAGTTCTCTGTCAAGTTTGCTTAACCTTCTTGAAGGAGATTTCTGGAGTAACTCAAGGTACAAGTGGAGGTTAGATTGGAAATGGAAAAGGCCACACATGATTCTCTATATCTCCTGGCTGATACAGAACAAGAGATTTTCAACAAATGAGCTTTTAGAGGAACCTGGAATCTAACAGACCCTGTTACTTGACACCTGTGCATTACTAATGAGTGAAGAGGAGAACATGTGCGTAGGGACTGCTATTTGGCCAAGTGCTTGGTTCTCTTCTGGATGAGAAGGACAAGGTCACTTCTTTTTTTTTCCCCGAAAGATCATAGTGAATGGTTGTATTATAAGCTTAGAGAAGTGTGTGACAAGGCCATGGTTGAAGATTGGGCTCTCATCTTTGAAGTCACAAGCTGGCAAGATTGGAGATGGATGAATGGTTATATATTTAACAATATTCTGGTGGATAGCAAGCTAGCCATCTTCAAGTTTCACAGGTTTTTTGCAGAAGTTAAGCTGGCCAACTCTATTAACTTCTTTGAAGCCAACAAGAAAGCATATAGACTTGCTGGCTAGCAACAACTGCAAAAAGGATGGATGAAGTAGAATGCTGATGCGTTTTTTTTTTTTTTTTCAGGGCTGATAGCATTGCTAATTTTTTATGTGATTGCAGCGGCATCATCCTTGGTATGTTTCCTGCTCTTGTGGTTTTCAAACCTAGCTGAAGTCACTGCCATCATCAAGGCTTTAGTGATTACTGCTTTAAATCATCTGCTGCTTCACTGTTTGATTCTGGTGGAATCAGACTACTATTGTTATTAGTTTGTTTTAATAAAGAATCGGATTGGCCTTGGACGTATCATCAAGTGTTTCTCACCATTTCCCCTTTAGGAAGATCATTCCTGAGACTCTCTTCTGTCATGTCTAGCTTGAAGCCAATTTTTTTTGCAGACCATCTTGCTGCACTAGGAGTTGCTAGAAATGCTGATTTATACCCTAGGTTTGATTCTGATGAGCTTTAATCTTGTCCCAGTTCTGATGCAAGGAATGTACTGCTGTTTCATTGGAGTTGGAACTACTCTTTTGGCTTCTCTGGCATCTTTTGGCTACTCCTGTGAGTTTGCTGATTTTTGGGTCTAAAGATTGTTAGTTTATGTGCTCTTTTGCTGCTGGAACTCTTCTGCTGCTGAATTTCCAGGAGCTTTGCAATGCATCTTAATCCTGCTTGTTTTCGTGCACTCTATGTTTCTAGACTTTTTCTGTCACTAATATAGCATCTCTGTCTGTATCCATTTCTATTCTGGTATCGTTTAATCTTTGGTTTGATGGCGGGCTGCTGTCATTGATTTCTCTAGTGTGTTTCTTGATCACCTGGGTGATGTTTGGAGAAGTTTCTAATTGAATGAGCATGCTCATGATTATTTTTGTTGACCTAGTGTTTTTGGATGTTTAGGTTGCCCAAACAATTTTCGAGGCTCTTCAGTGTCAGTGTCTTCTTTTATTAGTTTCTTCATCATTTTGTGATAGCTTTTGTGTTGATACTCGCAGTCTCATTTTTGTCCAAGTTTGTGTGTTTTTGTTTATTAATGGTTTATAATATTTCCTCTGGTTTATCAAGAAAAGAAAATAACTAGGCTACCGAGGGGGCTTGTAGGGAAAACCCAGTATGGTAGATGTAGGAGGCTTAATCAGGCACCAATGTGGTGCTCGGTGAAGTGGTTTGCATAGAAGAGAGCCTGTGTTTTTGGCAGCTGAGGTGGATATGGGCAGTTCTGACAGGCTGAGAAATGGCTTGGAATTTACAGGTTTCAAACATTGATCCTTTGAAGCAGATCCACAAGTTGGTGCAGCCATGGTTCAGTCAAGCATACAGGTGCTACTTTGCTTGTGATCAAAGCTCAAGCCTCTTCTGCAACTCCTGGATAGGGACTCAAGTGAACCATTAATTTTGTCACCTCAACAAGGAAGCAAACATTGACTTTAGATTCACTTATGTTCCAATATATTTTCAGTTTGCGGTTTTAATGTATCCAAATAATATTATCTAAAAAAAAATATTTTTTAATGATTTGAAAATATAAAAAATTTAATTTCAAATAAAAATAATAATAATAATTTCAAATTTTACTCAACTCTTAGTCTCTTACCAATTAAATGGCCCATGTGATGCTGCGAGTTAAATTTTTTACATAAAAAATATTTAAAAAGATAAGATTTAAAAGTATTAGGGTTTTTTTTATAAAGTTATATTCAAGAGTTTTAGATTTGATTACAATATCGGATCTTAAAATAATATTGATAATAATATTAAATTTTAAAAATTCAAGTTTAAATGGATCTAACTGTAATATCAAATTCAATAGTTTTGGATATGGGTTTAGCTCTAAAGTTATGTTATAAAAGTATGATATCTAAATAGATTAATTAAAAATTCAATAGTTTTGGATATGGGTTTAGCTGCAAAGTTATATTATAAAAGTATGATACCTAAATAGATTAATTAAAAAAATAAAAACTAACATGAAAAAAAAAACTAATGAAGAAAAAAAATATTAATTAACTAGGTTAACTTGCTAAACCTGAGATCCGTGTCATTAAAGTCTGATAACTAAATAGAAAAAAAATTAATATCAACAAACTAATAAAAAAAATTAATTAAAAAAAAAACATCAGCATTCACTGTAGATTATAATGTGTAGTCTACGGTTAATATCAACAAACTAAATAAAAAAAATAATTAAAAAAAAGCATCAACATTCACCGTAGATTATACTGTGTAGTCTACAGTGAAAGACATAAAAAGAAAAAAAATTAAAGGCATCAACTTTTTCACCGTGGACTATATACAATATTTAAAAAATAAAATCAGAAGAACAAAAGTAATGAGAAAAAAGAAAAAAAATCTGAATCAATAGGGTTAACCGATCACACTTGAGATCAAAAACAATCTGAATCAATAGGGTTAACCGATCAGACTTGAGATTCATGTCATGAAAATTTAATAATTAAACAGAAAAATTTTAATATTAAGAAACTAAATTAAAAAAATAATTACAAAATAAAAAAAAAAAGATAAAAAAAACTAAAAGCACTAGCTTTTTCACTGTGGATTGTATTGTGCAATCCACAGTAAAAGGTTTTAAAAGAAAAGGAAAAAAAATTAAAACAAAAGCATACACTATAGGTTATTTTTTTTTGCATAAAAAATATCAAAAAATATTAAAATCTAAAAGTATTGTGTATTTCTGCAAAGATATATTTAAGAGCTTTTGATCTAGCTGCAATATTTGACCCAAAAGTAATATTTATAATAACATTAAACTTGCATAATCCAAGTTCAAGCGAGTCTGGCTGCAACACCGAACCTAAAAATATTGAATGTGGGTGTAACTATAAGGTCGTGTAATAAAAATATGATAATTAAATAGATTAACTAAAACAAAGAAAAAACCAACAGGAAAAAAAACTAATAAAGAAAAAAAATGAATTAATTGGGTTAAACCAATTAACTCTTTAAATCAGGTTAACCCATAAAACCTAGAATTTGTGTCATGAAAGTTTGATAACTAAATAGAAAAACAAATTGATGGATTTACCCATAATTAAGTAGGTTAACCCATCAAATCAAGTTAACTCGTCAAATCCAAAATACGTGTCATAAAAGTCTGATAATTAAATAGAAAGAAATTTAATATTAACAAACTAAATTAAATGAAAAAAAAATTAATTAAAAAAATTCGGGTTAACTCGTCAAATCAGATTAACCCATAAAATGCAGATTAACAAACTAAACTAAATAAAAAAAAAATTAATTAAAAAAATTTGGGTTAACTCGTCAAATTAGGTTAACCCATAAAATACAGGATTCATATCATGAAAGTCTAATAATTAAATATAAAATTTTATTATTAATAAACTAAATAAAAAAAAAACATATAAAATTTTATTATTAATAAACTAAATCAAATAAAAAAACAAAAAAAAATCTATAATATAATATAATATAATATAATATATTAATAAGTAAAAAGCATAAAAAAACTACAGTGATTACCTTACACCTTTTAGAGTATTACTTAATTTAGAACGGCCTCGAGTCAAGGATGACGCTGCAGAGGCTTCTAATATCAGACCGTGCACTCTTTTTTAGTTCTGTTTCCTGGGCCGGCTACGCCGAAAAACGAATTGTTTTGGCATCTTAGGGCTTTGTTGTCACTCTCCTTCCTTCTTTGGTGTGTGCTCTATCTTCAAGGCATCCCTTTCCCATTAATCCTGAAATCACGTGCAAGTTACCTCTATTCTGAATTTATAAAAACTATTTTGATATAAAATAATAATAATAAAAATAATAACCTTGTTACAATCTTTTTGAATATTTTTATATTTTAAAAGTATTTTTAAAAAAATTAAGAAGTTTTTTTTTTATTTTTCTCTCTACTTTAAATTAATTTTGTTTTGTATTCTCAGATTTTTTTTATGGGTTGACAGCACAAAGAAATTTAAAAAGAATATTTTAATATATTTTTAAATAAAAAATATTTTAAAAAATAATTATAATTATTATAATATTAAAAATATTCGTTTCGTTCCAATCAAGCGACAGAGAAAACGTGAGATATATATCTTGAATATTTAAAAAAATCATTTATAATTTTGTTTAATGCTGTCATTCATCTTAATAGTTGTCTTCACTTAAAGAAGAAAAAGAAAATGATAACAAGAAAAAAACTCCCCAGCAACGAGTCTCAATTTAGGGCCTGTTTATGTTTTTAAAAAAAATTATTTTTTTTTATTTTTTATTCATTCAAAAATATTTTTGAAAAAAATTGAATTTTTTTATTTTTTATTAATTTTAAATTAATATATTTTTAAATTATTTTGACCTATTAATTTTTAAAATAAATATTTTTAATATTTTTAAATCATTTTGACGTATTAATTTTTAAAATAATTTTTTAAAAATAACAAATATTATTAACATGTATTTTAATATAAAATATTACTTGAAAAAACAAATTAACATGTATTTTAGTATAAAATATTACTTGAAAAAACAACTATAACCACCCCACCAAATAAACTCTTAAAATAAAAAAAATAAACAAAGACTCTAAACATTAGCTTTTTTATTTTAATTTTCATTAATTAGGGGTTCCGTTAATTACAGAAAGCTCCCTTATTCTCTACAACTTAGTTTAGGCCACAGTATTAAAGATTATTTTCAATTCGGCCCAAACCACAACACGCCAGAATCCACTGTACTTGTGCATACACAAGTAAAACTAACCTAGCCAAGGCAGGCGGCCTCAGTGCTAAAGTAGAGAGAGAGAGAGAGAGAGAGAGTGCAAAAACTTTGAGAAGATGGGTTCTACTGTAAACTCAAAATGGTTGCCTGTGACAACCACCATAACTGTGGCACTTGCACTTCTTTCTGCCTCAACAGCAGCTATCTCTCGTACTCTTCCCTTCTTTGCATGTCTTCTATGAATTTACAGTATACTAGGTATGGACT